TTCTGAAATTAATAGCCTACCAACCAAAAAAAGTCCAGGACCAGACAGATTCACGGCCAATTTCTACCAGAGGTACAAAAAGGAGCTGGTACCATTCCTTCTGAAACTATTCCAAACAATAGAAAAAGAGGGAATCCTCCCCAACTCATTTTATGAGGCCAGCATCATCCTGATACCAAAACCTGGCAGAGACACAACAAAGAAAGAAAATTTCAGGCCAGTATGCCTGATGAACATCAATGTGAAAATCCTCAATAAAATATGGGCAAACCGAATCCAGCAGCACATCTAAAAGCTTATCCACCATGATCAAGTAGGCTTCATCCCTGGGATGCAAGGCTGGTTCAACATATGCAAATCAGTAAACGTAATCCATCACATAAACGGAATCAGTGACAAAAACCACATGATTATCTCAATAGATGCCAAAAAGGCCTTTGACAAAATTCAACAGCCTTCGTCCTAAAAACTCTCAATAAACTGGGTACTGATGGAATGTATCTCAAAATAATAAGAGCTATTTATGACAAACCCACAGCCAATATTGTACTGAATGGGCAAAGGCTGGAAGCATTCCCTTTGAAAACTGGCACAAGACAAGGATGCCCTCTCTCACCATTCCTAGTCAACATAGTATTGGAAGTTCTGGCAGGGCAATCAGGAAAGAGAAAGAAAGGGTATTCAAATAGGATAAGAGGAAGTCAAACTGTCTCTGTTTGCAGATGACATGACTGTATATTTAGAAAACCCTATTGTCTCAGCCCAAAATCTCCTTAAGCTGAAAAGTAACTTCAGCAAAGTCTCATGATACAAAATCAATGTGCAGAAATCATAGGCACTCCTATACACCAATAACAAACAGAGAGCCAAATCCTGAGTGAACTCCCATTCACAATGGCTTCAAAGAGAATAAAATACCTAGGAATCCAACTTACAAGGGATGTGAAGGACCTCTTCAAGGAGAACTACAAACCACTGCTCCAGGAAATAAGAGGACACAAATAAACGGAAGAACATTCCATGCTCATGGATAGGAAGAATCAATATTGTGAAAATGGTCATACTGCCCAAAGTAATTTATAGATTCAATGCTGTCTCCATCAAGCTACCATTGACTTTCTTCACAGAATTAGAAAAAACTACTTTAAATTCCATATGGAACCAAAAAAGAGCCTGCATAGCCAAGACAATCCTAAGCAAAAAGAACAAAGCTGGAGGCATCACACTACCTGACTTCAAACTATACTACAAGGCTACAGTAACCAAAACA